TGTTCTAGGCTATGCTAGTGAATACAGAATGAGAACTTTTTTTATTATTTTCAATTTCGTGTCATTTTCTCCGAAACTTCCCTTTTTTTGTGAAATTGTCAAGGTTTTTATACTATAAGAATAGTATATTGACTTGGTCTGATTTGAAGCTTTTAAAGTTTTGTTGTTATAATGATGCTAGCTTTGTTGTTTGGCATTTTTGGTCATAATGTTTTTCCTAAATTTGTGTATAAGTCTAAAGGTAAAAACAATGGTAAAAGGAAAGAATGGTTGGGAATGGTAAGACAAATTAAAGGTAGGGAAAGCTAAGTTTAGGAAAGAGGGAAAGGGGGAAGGCTGTTACTGACAGCTAACCTTGTTATCTGTTCTCTCTTTTTTTTATTTATTTTTTTAAAAATGCATTTGAGCTTGCAAAATAAATGTAGGCATTTGTTGGCTTTTGGGCTTCTAAGTCCATATCATTAGCTTAAACCAAAATTAAATTGGGCTTAGAAATGGACTTTGGGCTTTTGTTAGGCTCTAAGCCCAATTGACTCAAAATTGAATTGATTGGACCTTAACCCATATAAGGTAACCCCAAATATTTAATATGAAATAAAAAATAAGCCCAATAAAATTAAAACATTTGAATTGTTTGAAATTGATACATTCGTTCTAAAATCAAAATTGAACACGATCAAATTATTTTGGATAAAATTAGGTGTTTATAATAATTTCATTAAAACTGTGGGAAAATAATCTTATATCCCTTTTCAGACATAGTTAGAACATACATGTTCAAAGTTACATTGTACAACATTAAACAATATTTAATTTTTTCAATGGAAATAACTATCTATGTAGTATGTAAAATAGCAAACACTTAATAAGAGATGTTAGCCTTACAGTGGTGATAGAGATGTCTAAGCTAAATTATTGTAAGTTCTTTGTATAAAAAAAAAAAAGAAAAACACAAAACATTCATAAAGTCAGTTGAAATGTAGTTGCCAAAACATATTTATCAGCATTTTCAAATGGTTCACTTTACAAATAAACTAAAAGCTTTTATTAGTTTTAAGATTTTCTTTCTTCACATGGACTAACCATATTGATTACATTAAAAAAAATGTGCCCTGTATAAGGGCAGAACAAAAAAAAAAAATGAAATACAATGTTAGAACAATGGATCGAAAAGCAAGAAGTTTACACATACTTATCATCTTTTTTCATTTCGTTGCATTTTTCTCAATTCCTTAAAGTGAGTTTTGTACTGTATAATAATGGGCCTATAAAAAATACATAAAAACACAATATTGTAAAATTAAACTCAAATGCAATATAGATCGAAAGCATAATAAACAATCTCGGCATGGTTATGATTAAAAAGTTCTTCTTATAACAACTATCATGTACTATTGTTCTTCAGAATGAAAAAAAATGTTAGGTCAAACAATCCAAGCATTTCATTTTGATACAGCAGACAACTCTTTACATATTTTAAAAAATTATTAATCACCAAACAAACAAAAAAAGATGTTGGGTATATACCTAGAATAGTGTGTGGCTAGCAAGTATTTTTGCAAAACAAACATAGAAATCCTTGTCAAAAAGTATTTTTAAAAATTTCACCTGTTTGTAAAATAGGTTTCACAACCTATAAGTTTTTAGATAGGTTGTGATTGATTATTTTGGTCAAAGTTGTGACTAAATGGAAGGAAATAAAGATAAACAAACTTTTAAAAATGAAATATAGGCTTTTCACCTTCGATTGCAAGTGGAAGGAAGATAATTTCATGAACAAAAATAAAGTTAGAAGCTTGATTTTGTCTAGTATTTAAGAAAATTGACCATCCATGTTTAGGGAACTATAAATGCTTGGATATGGCTTATAGAAAGAGATATTCAAGAAGGGAATCCATGGGGTGAAACGATTTGAAATGTTTCATTTTTTGGTCTTTTAGGAAAATTTAAGAAATAGGTGGTGAACATTGTTAGGTATTTAATGAATATGAAAAACGAAAAGATTTAATTAATTATAAGGAGTTTGAAAAAATTAGATTATAACAAATATTAGCAAACTAAATGCAATTCCTAAACAAAATTGAATGAATAAAGTAGAACATGAGGTATTCTTAAAAGATAAAGGGTACTTATCATTTATGGTTCCGTTTATTTATTAGAAAATAATTTTTGAAAAATAATTTTTACATTTTCAGATATTTGTTTAGCAAAAAATTAATTAGTTAACAGAAAATGACTTACTAATAAAAAAAAAATGACGTAATTTTTTTGAAAATTGTCTTCCTTTTTTGAAAAGGGGAAGATAATTTTATGAAAAAAACTATTTATGAGTAAAATTACTTATCAATGTGTTTGAGCATAATTTTACTTAAATCGGATTTGTACATAATTTTTTTAAGCTCAAACTTAATTTAACTAAATCCAAAATATTATTATATTCATAAATAATATTTTTATTTAATTTTACTTAAAAATTTAAAATATTAATATTAAAAGTATTTTAATATTTTAATTTAAAATATTTTTATAATTCTACTCAAGTAAAACTTTTAACATAATATTTTACGCTCGAACTTGATTTGATTCGACTTAAAATATTATTATATTGATAAAAATATTTTATTTAATTTTAAATAAAAAATGAAAATATTAACATTAAAAGTCTTTTGATATTTCAATTTTAAATATTTTTATTTTGTATATTATTAAACATAAAATATTTTTAATATTTCAATAATAAATAGTATTATATTATTTTTATAATAAATATTAACATATATAATAATATTTTTATTATTTTAATAATGAATATTAAATAAACTAATATTATTATTTTCTTAATTTGAATATTTTTAATAAATTCTTAATTTTTTAATTTAAAATATATAATTTTATATTTTTATTTATTAAGGTATTTATACTACTAGTTTAATAATAATATAAATAAAAATATTTTTGTTATGATTTAATAATAGATACTTTCAATATAAAATATAAATATTTCAATATTAAATATTACAATTTTAATTTTAATTAAATAATATTTTAAGAATAATAATACTATTTTAAATATTTTAAATATCAGTATAAAGAATAATAAATAATTTTATTTTAAGTATTTTATATTTAATATAATATTATAATATTAAATAATATTGTTAAAATATAATTTCTTAAATATTAATAATTTTAAGAATAAATAATTTCAATATACTTTAATAATAAATATTTTTAATATTTTAATAATCATATTAATATTATTTAAAAAAATTTCAAAAGTTAATCAAACAACAAAAAATATTTTTTATTATCTCATCTAAATAATTGAAAATCTTTACTTTTTTAAAAAGAAGTAAAAATTTTTTAAAAATATTTTTTAAAAATCAATTTCTACAAAACAAACGAAACTAAAAAAATATAATAGATGTATGTTATATAAATTATTGTTAGAATCAAGCCTCATTCATGCTTCTAAATTTTTGTCATGTGTCGACAAAATAGGTACTGAAGATAAAAATGATAGAATGTTAGATTTCTGCTAAATAAGTACTAGCAATAAAGTACTTTTTTTTTTACTTATGATTGCGGTTAATAGTAAGAAATTAGTTTGATTTTGAATAAAACAATTCTTAGGGCTATGCATTTGTCAGTTCTAATTGAAAAAAAAAAAAAAAAACAGTTCAATTCAATTAAATCGGGTCGATTTTTTTTCAGTTTAATAGGGTAAATCGGTTAAGTTGTCGGTTTAAGCAATTGCAATGATCAATTTTCGGTTTAAAATTTCTAAACTTAAACTAATGAAAAAAATAAAAAAATTAAATATTTAAAATAAATAAAAAATATATTTTTTTCTTTTTAGTTTTTACCATAAATCTTCAATCTCATCCCATTTTCCTTGTTGTTTAACGCTGAACTTCTTTACATTATGGCCGTTCAGCCTATCCTTTCCAATCTAGTCTCCACAAATCTAATAGTACAATACATTTCATAACTCATGTAACGAGACACCACCAGACGCCAATCCTCTCACTTCACAAATCACAATAGATCTCACAATCGTTTCATCTGTCATTTTCTTTTTTGGACGCTCAAAACTTAACCACCATCTATAGTTGAAACCCAAGCGATAGTCTAACCAGTGACGGCTAATCCATCGATGGTCAAAAGTTTTGTTTGACCTTTTCTTTCATCCTTTTCTTTTCAATCTTTGACAATCAAAATTTAGATGAAGGTTTGTTTTGCTTCTCACACAGTTACATTTTACCTTTCTGTCTTTAAGAGCTTTTTAGTATGAACTTTCTCTCACTTGAACATTCATGTTTGAATATAATGTAGTACAATATGGTTTGATTTTTTTTTTTTGTTTCAAAATGGGATTTGCAGTCTCTATAAGATAGGATTTGTCTTTTTTATTTGTTTTGTTTGTTTCTAACTTCCATTAATTGATGATTTAGGCATATTTGAAATTTACTTTATATGTAATACTAATTTTAAATAGAAAATGGATTAATATTTGCTTTGATATGCTTAGATTACATTTTAATTATTGGTTTCTTTTGTGCTTCATTGATCTTGAGTTTTCGGTTTCTCTTGATTTTGTTTGGAAAGATAACAATATTTTGTTTAATTAAAAATCGACGAAATTAATTAAATTGATCGACTTAATTTGGTTAACTTAGATTTTCATCCTATTAATCGATTGGTTTGATTTTTCAATAAATGAAGTCATTTTAATTATTTTTTAATTTTTATATTTGAATTAATTAAATTAATCGTTTGCTCTGTACTATTCAAATTTGCTCTTTGAAAAAAGCAAGATAACCGAACTTGATATTAAAAATATTTTCAAAATTTTAGAAACATCAATTTTTGTGATTTCAACGAATTTTAAAATATTATCTTTTAATTATAAAAAATAAAAACATATTTTATTTTAGTTTTAAAAAAATCAAAATAAAATATAACACAAAATATCCCAAACAACCCCTACATGAATCGCTTTATATACTTGGGTCTTGGGCTCAACAAATATTGAAATTGGCAATCAATTTCAAACCTTCAAGCCCAAATTTGAATGGTCCAGAATCAATTTCTCTTCTGTCCTGGTAGGGTTTTTGAAGATCAAGATGGAGAAAGAAGATGTGGAAGAAGTGAATCTGCAACAGAAAAAGAAGCATAAAGGGAAACATGACAAGCCAAAGCCATGGGACGAAGACCCAAACATCGATCGTTGGAAGATTGACAAGTTCGACTCTTCCTGGAACCCCGATGGTATGCTCGAAGTCAGCTCTTTTTCCACTATCTTCCCTCGCTACAGAGGTAATTAACTCACTTTTTATCTACTTTTCTTAATAATTGGGTAATTTTACTTATGTTTGGTCCCATTTTTTGTCTTAATGAAGAAAAATACTTGCAAGAAGCTTGGCCAAAGGTTAAATCTGCTCTCAAAGAATATGGTATTTCTGCTGAGCTCAACTTGGTAAGTTTCAAATTCTATCAAATGTTTTAATGTTTTAATCTACTGATCTTTTGTATTGTAGATTTTAGGTTAGTTAAGTCAAACATTTTATTTTCGAAACCCTCTGAACTGTGACACTATGGTTGGGTGAATTGATCCCTTTTTTCGATGTTCTAAAATGTGAGTAGAAACAAAAAAGAGGGATATAGCAGTCATCATGTTTGCTTGAGTTGTGGAAAGAAAGGAAAGAGATATAGTTTAGTTGATTTTTTCTACAATTTTGCATTTATTTGTAAACATATATGCAAACATGCAAAATAAAAGGTTTATGTAATTTCAAGTATATCAATATAATAATTCATAAAATTGGGTTTTAAATGTTTTAGAGGGATAACATCTTCACTCCATCTTGTTCCCTATAAGAAAAGGGACTACTCCTTTCACTTCATTTCATTTTCGTTTGTTATTCTTGATACAAACATAGTCTGGTGTCTTAAAGCCCCAACTTCTGTCTCAGTCATAATTTGATATTATTTCATATAAAAAAGATTGCATTCTTCAAAGATTGGGGGATCATCTTCTTGGAATACTTAGTAAAAGCTCTACTGCCAATGGTTTTGTTTTCCTTGTTTCTTTTAATCTTTTATATCGATTACTGGCACTATCTATCATTGTCTTCATATTTGCATACGCTTGTTTATTATCTGATGCATTTAATTGCTGATCAGGTTGAAGGGTCTATGACAGTTTCAACAACAAGAAAAACTAGGGACCCATATATTATCATCAAAGCCAGGGATCTCATCAAGCTTCTATCAAGAAGTGTTCCTGCACCTCAGGTAGACTTGTCAGTTAGTCTTGCACTTTTCATCATTGACAAACTAGTTAAATGCTAGCTTACTTCACATGAGATTTTTCAACCATTTCATTGTAATAGTGTTTGCTTAGTACTTGAAACCATCCTAGGAAGGTTTTTTTCATAGTGTAGATTTTTGAGCTCTCGAGTCTAATAGTTGTTTGAATATAGTTCTTACCATTTCTTTTAATGTTAGGCAATTAAAATACTCAATGATGAAATGCAATGTGACATTATCAAAATTGGGAACTTGGTGCGCAATAAGGTATTTGTTTCTTAAATTTCTTCATTTATTTGTTTAAAACTTTAGCCATTTTACTCTTGGAAATCTGGTAGGATGTTGCTATTGGCATTCATGGAGATGCTTGAGAAATTGGCTGGAATTTCCTGTCTAGCTTCAAGCGTTTCTTCATTGTCACTTGTAATGAGCCTTCCATGGCTGATCAATGGAACTTATATCTTTGGAACCGCCTGAACTTTCTTGTAGCATTATGCACCGCCAACTATGATGCATCACATTAATAGAAAGACATGTTGATAACATGATGCCCAATCAAATTTGGATAAAAAATCAGATGCCTTAATGTTTATTCTTGAAGCTAATTATGCGCAAACATCTAGTATGTAGTTATACTATTTTAGTTTGATACGTGCTATATATCTTAACTAAAATTGATGTAAGATCATTTTTTTTGTCATGTATTTATCTTTTGATGGCTGTCTGGGCAATCAATCCACTGTATAGTTGTTATATTCCAATCTGGATCCTATGATCTCAAGATTATGATCTGAAACTTTTTGTAATTTTATCTATCCATCTTTGTTTCACTTATTCACTAGTTGTTATGACATACACACATGTTTGTATGTAAGTGTACAAGTACATATATATATATAATGCCTTTTTACCATCACCTGTGTACTAGACTCAATTGGATTATCTTTGATACAACTATTCTGAACTGCTTTTTAGCAGCATACTGAAAGCTGAAACTACTAATTACATTCCATGGACATAATTTGTTTATGCATTCTGAACATCTATTTCTCATTCAAACTAGCCTGGGCATGAAAATGGTATTAAGTGAGGCTGTTTGTTCAAAGTGAAGCATTTATAATTACTTATATGTTAGTGCTACCTAATCATTAGTAGAGCATATCTGAAAAGACAAGCTTTTTTGAACAACATCCTTTTTAGTTTTTATGTTTCAATTTAGAAGTTATTTCCTACACCAAGGAGACAGTTTTTGATCTTTTATTTTTCTTTGGTTACTTGGTAAATCTATTTGTTATTTTAATAGATAGTAGGATATTACATTTTTGTGGTTCAATCCTAAGGCCCCTAAACTATCCTAAAAAAGTATCCTGATTTTAACCACTTTGGTCTACCCAGAAATCCTCGAAAAATAAGCAAATATTAAGAAATGTTTGTAACGTCATTATGGTGTCTAAAATTCTTTTTACAGGAACGATTTGTTAAAAGAAGGCAGCGTCTTGTGGGGCCTAACTCTTCGACTTTGAAGGTGTGTATGTATCCATTCTTAATTGATGTCTTAACAACCTTCTGAAATAATCCCATGAAGGAAAGGTGACACTTATGTTGAGGCATGAGTATATGCTATGACAATGAGATGATGTGCTTTTAGAAACTTCTGCACTTGTTTTCACTGTCTTACTCCTCCCTTTCATTACTGGATGCAGGCACTTGAAATATTGACAGGCTGCTACATTCTTGTTCAGGTAATTTCTAACCCTCTTTCTTTTGGTTGTTAAACTGTATTTCTTGCTCTATGTTGAAGTGGAGAACCACTAATTGAAAATATTTTTCACTTTGCTCATGGTGGAATAGGGAAACACTGTCGCTGCTATGGGTTCATTCAAAGGTTTAAAACAAGTCAGAAGGATTGTGGAGGACTGCATAGAAAATAAAATGCATCCTGTATACCATATCAAGGTGCCATAAACTTGACTTGCAGTTTTGGTTTTGCTGCTGTTGCTTAAAATTATGTCAATATAGATGTATTTTGAAATTTTATAAACTTTCAGTACTGACTCCCATCTCCTTTCCTTTCCTGTCTTACCACATCTTATTTTCTCCTCCCTTCCTTTCCAAAATCTAGATTCTCATGATGAAGAAAGAACTTGAGAAGGATCCAGCACTTAAAGATGAAAACTGGGACAGGTTTCTTCCAAAGTTTAAGAAGTAAGATATCTATTCTGTATGTTTTTAACATTTTAATTCATTTTCATTCTTTGTTCTGTTACATGTTCATTTAACCAAACAATGTTTCCAGGAAAAATGTTCAAACAAAGAAAATTAAGAGTAAAGAGAAGAAACCATATACACCCTTCCCTCCTCCTCAGCAACCTAGTAAGGTAAGATAGCTGCTACTTGTTTCTTAGGGTTTCCCGTGGTTAATTTATTGCTTTTTGTCTCTCTGATTATATTCAAACCAGATATTTCCTTGTTTTTATAATAAGGTTATTTTCCAACACATTGTTATCCATTTCTAGCTTTTATTTTGAACTTGTTTCTGTTTTAGATAGACAAGAGTAGTTATCTGTAGTATAACCTGTTTGGCTTAGCTGAATATATCTGCTTAAAGAACTAGTGATCAAAATCTTAATTTATCAGTCAAATGATCTAGAAGCTGATTCTATCTCCAGTTGCTTTAAGTGTAAGGAGTTTTCAGCATAGGCAAGTGGAAGAGAATTCCAAAAGCAATTTTGTAAAAGCCTTGGGTTTTGAAGGTGGCATTTAGCTGGTTCTGTTTTCAGAATGAACTAAAATGTTTTCTTTAGCTTGTTGGATCTTTAGTCAATTATTTAGTTGATTCCTATGAGAGGTTTTAGCATGAGCTAGCGGGGAGAGAATCCAAAGCATTCTTATCTGTGCAAGCCATTGGTTGGCATGAGAGCATTTAGCTGGTTACATTTTCAAAATCGATTAAATCTTATCCATAGCTTTTTGGTTGATCAAATTTGGTCAAACTTATTTAGGTGTGTTTAACTAGTATACATGGGAATTGGAAATTTATTTTATCTGGAGGGTGAATTTGGATTCAACAATGAGTGGTTGGTTGTTTGCTTTTAGTGTTCATTATGTCTAAGTTATTTTTTCTCCTTTTCCCTCTCCGATAAAAAAAGGAAAATAAGCTATTCTTTCTCTTGGGTGCATAAAAATATTTGAAGCAAAAACTCTTCGCACCCCTCTCAGGCCATCTTTTTCCTTTAAATTAAGATACTGATTACTCACTGTATGTCAGAATTTTAGAATGTATACAGTATTGCAATTTCTTTGTTTAGTTAAATGTGTGGAATGTAGTCATTATTATTATTATTATTATTATTATTAACTTTTTGGATGTTTGTGGAAAACAAAGTTACATTGGTATGTGATGTTTGGTGGTATCTTCCAGATTGATCAAGAGTTGGAATCTGGAGAATACTTCTTGAGTGAGAAAAAGAAATTAGCTAAGAAGTGGCAAGAGAAGCAGGAGAAGCAGGCACAGAAAACAGCAGAAAACAAAAGAAAAAGAGAAGAAGCATTTGTTCCACCCAAGGTTCTATTTTGAAGCCTATACAGGCACACACCGACACGTACAAGCACCCGTATCCATCCCTTCTATTATGTTATATTTGTTTATTTTTAACAATGTTATGTACCTGCTGCAGGAACCTGTGAAGCAAGATTCTAACAAGGCAGAGAATGACAAGGAAGATGTCGCTGCTCTTACCATGTCATTGAAGGTAATTTTAATCATAAGATCACTTTTGTTCTATGATATTTGTCAAAAATCAGGCATAGTTATAGGGAAACATTTTCTAACAAGCCCCTCCTTGGTTTCCACTGCAGCAAAAGGCCAAGGAGTTTGGGAAGAAAAAATCTATTCAAAATGTCAATGCTGAAGAATATATTGCAGCCCCCACCACAAAACAACCTTAAAAAGAAAAAGAAATCCAAGCATACATAGTATAGGCAAACATGAATGTTAGACTAGACAAGTACATGGATGATAAAGTTTGCTAAATATATGGTGGCTTTGCTCAATCCCATGACGCGGATTTGCTATCATTGGGAAACAGGCAGATATTGCACTCTTCAAGGTCTGCACTCCGCATAGACTAGTAAAAAAACTCATATATTGAAATTGGTTCTGATTTTGTTGGTATGTGAAGCAGCTTGGTTTCTTGGTTTCTTGGTTTCTCTTTTTCCTTTTTGTTTCTCTTACAGTGGATTAAATGGAGAGAATGCATGGTCAAAAAGAGAATATGGGATCTAGGTTAAATTAGAAAAATCTCTGTGAAGTTAAACCTATTGCTAATTTCCCTGAGATATAGTATAATAGTACTTTCGCTATAAGTAGTTACTTATTCATAATATATCATCCAAGCTAGTAATTACTATAGTGTTTCCAAGGCCTAATGAATGGAGAATATCATCCCAATGTATTAATTATGGTTCCCAAAGCCTTGGCCAAGAAACTCACGCTAAACGCAATCCTAAAAGAAGCTCCTGCTTCTCCCTTGTGCTTATGTATATGCTTTCGTATTTCAGTATAGCTATCACTTACACTCTTTGTTTCGTTTCAGCTTTTTAGATCTTACGACTTTGTTTCACAAAAGGTTTTTCATAAGTTGAAAGTGATAAAACATTTATATCTCAATATTAATTCTAATATACGGGATTAATAGTTTCTCTCTTACTATGACACCAATCAAGTGAAATAAGCACGTGAAATATAAAATTTGTTGAAAGGAGAAGGAAAGAAACATGAATTCGAGAGTCTTCTATAAAACAATGCTACTTCTTGTTTGAGCCAATTTGATGCTTAAAATATGACAAAAAAGAAACATAAATGAAATAGAGCATAATAAAGTAAGTAAAATATCTAATACGGGATCTGGAAAGCTTAAACAGGGGAAGCAAAGTAGGGAAACATTTTTTTTACAGACTACCCTGAAGCAGTTGGTAGAAGAAAAGGTAATTACATGGATAGCAGGTTCATCAAATCCTGGAAGGGATCATAGGGATATTATTCTGCAGGTATGCACAAGCAGCAGCAACGCCACTTCCAAGCTTAACTGGATATCCAACATCTTTGAGTATCATCTCCACACCAGCCAGACAACCCAACAGTTGCAACTGAAAGTAGATGAAACAACAAAGATAAGACAAACTGTTTTAGCTAATGCTTCTAATAAGTTACTATTTGTTTTTGAAGTGAAAATACATGGGAATCAAGAGAAACAAAAAAAAGTATGTTATGTTGGTGATAGAGCTTGCTGTAAAGATCATTAATAAAGAAGTACTTTGAGATCATTCAGAACAAAAAGTTAAGAAATGGAATCCTTATTATAGTAATTCCAAGGGTTAATATTATGATTGTCCGTTAAATTATAATAAAATATTTAATTTGATATTTAAATTTTAAAAATTTTTGATGTTATATTTAAATTATAAATATGTTAATTAATATGTTATTTATAAAATTATTTATTCATCATATGTTATTATTTAAAATTAATCATATTATGTTAATTAATAATTTATAATTTAAATATCTCATTAAAAATATTTTAAATTTAATTATTATATTAAATATTTTATTATAATTTAGAGATCGTAACTCTACCTTAATTAAAATATTAATCCTATGAATTAAGAAGCAAGCAAGGACATTACCTCGTTTAGGTTTCCAAGATGTCCTATTCTGAATACTTTTCCAGCCACTTTGTTAAGGCCAAGACCTAAGCTCAAATTGTATCTCTTCCATGCGCTTCTGACAATTTCTGTACTATCAATATATGGGGGAACAAGAACAGCAGTCACAGTGTCACTGAACCATTCCTCCTTTTGTGTGCAGTTCTTCAAGCCCCAAGCCTCCACAGCAAGCCTGTTTTAAGATTGTGCAACCAATCAAATCAACCGCTACAATGTTCCCAAAAGAGTAAAGTAAAAGTGACATACAAGAACTCAAACAAGAACATCGTTGGGTTGTCTTAAAACTTCAGTCATTAACAAAATTCCGACATAGAAGAAAGAAAAGCAAGGTTCACCTTGTTGCTTTGCCCAAGCGGCTATGCCTTGAAATCACATTGTCAAGTCCTTCCTCAAAAATAAGATCCAGAGCTGCTCTGAGCCCGTACAATAGTTGGATTGAAGGAGTGTATGGCCAAAATGTTCCCAGTTTGTAGAACTTCAGGTAGTCGTTCCAGTCAAAGAAAACTCTGACAGATTTTGCACTTTTGGATGCCTCTAGAGCTTTAGCGCTAGCACAAACTAAACCAATTCCTGTGGGAAGAGAAAGTGCCTTCTGAGAGCCAGTTAAGGCCACGTCGACTCCCCATTCATCCATACGGAAATCAAGGGCACAAATTGAGGAAACTCCGTCAACAAGAAGTAGTGCTGGGTGCCCATAGTGATCTGAGAACAAACATAAAGCATAAGAAACATGTTTGAAAGTTAAAATGATTTCTATAATATAAACTTACCAAGCAATTTTCTCACTCTAGACAGGTTGTTGGTGACTCCAGTTGCAGTCTCATTGTGAACAATGCAAATGGCCTTGATTGTGTGCGTGTGATCAGCAGCAAGTTTTTCTGCCAGAATGTCAAGGTTAGCACCTTGACCCCAGTCACTTTCAACTACATCAACATTGAACTTGAGGCGCTGCTGCTGATCGATCCAGAGCAGACTGAATTGTCCAATAAGGAAAGATACAATTCGATCTCCGGGGGACAGGGTATTGGTAAGGGCACTCTCCCATGCACCAGTTCCTGAATACAAACACCAAAATTAAATTCACAAACAAACTGAAACAAGTAAGATACTACTATTAAAAACATACTAATTCAACATACGTTTTAGTTTTCAAGCTGGTAATCTTAAGTATTAACCTGAGATGGATGACTGAAAACTTGATAGCATAGTAGAAACCATGAATACCTGTAGTAGGGATCATAAAAGGAGTTCCGGTAGTAGTCTTGAAAATCTTCTTGACATCCTCAAGAAGAGTTTTTGTCATTGCAGGAATGGCAGGGGAACGGTAATCCTCATTGTTCCTGTTCATGGCCCGAATAACGGGTTCTGGGATGTTAACTGGCCCTGGAACAAAGAGATGGTTCCTTCCTGGTCCATACACATAGTCCATCTTTTCTCCCTCTGAGAAATGTCACTTCTAACTTAGATACTACTTCCTGAGCTTCTCAGCGTCAAAACTTATCTGTTACAATGGAAAAAAATATCAGAAATAAGTAGTAAATTAATCTCCGATCTCATCCTTCAAATCATGCAAACACATGGATTCTAATGCCCATTTACTAGGTTGATTGGATACTAAAATCACTCTATCACTCTCAATTTCATTTGATGACATGTAGTTTTCTCTAAAAATTGTAGTTTCTGTATAACTTGAAGCCAAAAAAAAATCACTTGAATTATTATGTCTATCAAGGAAACGTACTAGCATAGAGGGAAAACCAAATGGACAAAGAGCAAAAGCAGAGAAACAACTTCCATTAGGATACTAAAAAGCTGGTTTCTATTAATCAGAATAGTCCTATGATAATTGTTACCATTATTTTTTATTAGTATTATCTATTGCAGGGTCAAACTATTATTTTAAAATTTTAAGGCTGTAAATCACAAATAATAGAATCAAAACTTTGGAATTCTAGAGACTTCCAAACAACTCGTTTGAGGTACTTGTTTAACAGGTTTAATTAGAAGGTGTTAAGTCCTCACATACATACTTACATATTATGAGAAAAGTTTTGCTTGAAGGAAATGACTTTGATACTTATGAAGAAGATAATCCTTCATGAACTGATTATTTCCCTTTAAATCAAATAGATATAATAAGAAGGAAAAGTTTCATTACACTAACGTAGTATTAGTAGTGTTTGATTGGTTAAACAACTGTGCTCATTTATTCTTCTTCATTTTTCCATCTTTTGCATATTTCCCCATAATTTTCTTAATTTCTAAGTATAGAAACACCAAGCCTTTTGTGATGAACCTTTATAAAGATTAACCTTTATTGTTGTGTCTTATATATATATATATATATCCTTCATGATCAATTTGGTGCTTCCAAGAACTTTTCAGAAACAGAAACAAAACTGTCAGAAGAAAAAAAACTGGGAAACAATAAAAAGGAGGCCACACCCAACACTGTAAAAGTCCAACAACATATGTGGGTAAAGTGCCATACCTCTAAAGATAATCTTTCTATGAAATTGTATGAAGTCTGTTTTGGCAGAGAGAAGAGAAGGATTGCAGTCTGTAGCTGCCTTTGTAATATATAAAAAGCCAAAGATGGCTTTGAGTTTTCTAATAGCACGAGAGAACCATTCAACATAAATGTAAACGTGGCAGATAAGAGAGAAACCAATTTGGAATCATGCGACTATGAACCACTGACTTGGAATACAACCACTTCTTTCATTGGATTTGCACTCACCCAAATGTTTTTTTTTTTTTTTTTTAATGTTTGTTTGTTTCATTTATTTGTTGTTTTCTCTTTGCTTTTTGCATCTACGGTCCTTTTATTTTTGTTGAATTTCCTTCCAATCCCATAGAGCTCTTAATCTTATGCATGTTAGCCCCTATCACATATTTTTATTTATATGTTAACCATCTACAATGTAAATATAGATAATTAACCTTTCACATATTTTTGATGCCATAGCTTCAAATATTATCATATGCGAATTTTATTCGATTTTATGTCAAATTTTTTATTTATATGCCTGTTGATTGATTTATTTGAAGTATTTATCTTAATCTTTTTTTTTTAATAAAAAGGAATGTAAGTTTTATATTTTTTTTATTATTAGATTAAATGGCTAAAATTAAAAATAGTATTCGTAGTTTAAGAAACATACCAAAATGTAAGGACCCCGACAGAAAGAAATCCAAAAAACCGGTGGAAAAGAAAATTTGGAGTTATGAAGGTGAGGTTGAGAAAGCAACGTCAAAAGATAAAAGTGATAAAAGCTGTCAACCACACTCTTTCCTGTCGGAACCAACACCACACACGCTCTTTTTTTCAATCCTGTTTCCTCTTCATCTTGTTTCTATTCTCAGTTTTGTTCTTTTATCCCCTATTTTGAGGCTGCCTGTCAAACTCGTCAGCTGCACTTTTATTCTCGTTTTCTCCGATTTGTCCTAAGATTCTAACCATAGAAGATGTGAAGATACAAAAGAAAACCATCATGTAGATAAAACTACTAGACCTTATGAAGTAGAAATGAGAGAAAAACACCAAACAGAAAAAAAAGATAAACAAAGATTCACGTAAGAGAACTGAAAATCTTACCTCCCAATGAATCCCAAGAAACTTGCACTTTTGCCACTATTAACATTTGCAACTTTCCCAGAGCTCAGAACGACAAAAGCAGAAACCAGTTCAGATTATAACAAGAAGATCCACTTTTTCACTATCATCATCAACGAGGCTGTTTTACAGGAACACACTGGATTCAGAGTGCCAACCTTAATAAGATCCACCCTAACTAGGGATCCCATTTTCCTATCAAACAAAAAATATAATAAAATATTAAATATTAAATCATCTTATGACCTGTTCAGTCCCTTACTGTGAAACTTGAAAGAAATTCTGAGTCTAAATCGTGTTATCAAATTCAGATTTCCCTGAAGCTACTGTCACTCGAATAAAAACACACTGGCTCAACTCTATCAGAAGAAAATTTATACCAATATTATTGCTAACAAAATTTGCACCTTGTTAATGCAAAAATTCGAAACTGATAATGTACACTTCTTGCTGGGCATGGTACACATCTCGTGCATGTATGTTTGAAATTGAATTGAGATTTTTTTTTTCCTGCTATTCTTGTTCTATATACGTAAACAAATTACTGGACTCGCTTCCAAAAGCAAAAAGAAAAACAAAAAATTGTCGCAGAGGTCCCTTCATGCCCTGCCCATGTTAGTCGATCTTTGGATTTCCTACTCAGCCGTCCCTTTACATGGATGCAACTCCCATCTGGTGCATAACTTCATTGATCCAGCCATTAGCAGTCAGAATCAAATAGCAATTTTTTATTCCCATGGTGAAAATGGAATCCCAGAGAATATTCATGGCAGAAGCAGTCAATGCCACATGGCCAAAGCCAATCAGCATAACTCATCTATCAACTATCATCCAGCACAGCATTAAAAGCTTATTTGATGCCGGAGGGAAAACCTTGCCTTTGTGGGAATCCAGTTTGACGCATTCGATATGGTCGCTCATTACTAACAAGCCGTTTATCAGATGGTCCTGCCCCAAGAATCCCCAAGGAGTTTGGATCTATTACACGGGTACCATTGTTCATAGTTTGAGTTGGTGGCTGAAGTTGGGGATGAATATCTGCTTCAGCTCTCCGCCGTCGTTTCCAAGCTTCAAACTTTGCGGCATCAATGCCTTTGTGAAATGGTTGTGATGTTTGATATGCCATCACATTCTTGTACCCTCTCTTCTTCTCAATGGAACGTGAGAAAGGAGGGAAGTAATTAGGATCACCATCTCTATCAACATGGCCGGGCACAGAACCGTTGATATAGGAGGGTCCTACCCCTCCATCCTCCTGCCGCTCCTGCTTAAGCTTAGAATAAATCTGATGAAGCCTCTCACCAGAAAGATTTGAAAATGTAGAAACATAGTTCCATAAACGCATAGTCATCCCTGCAATGAGAATTGAAATTAAAAAAAAGAAATTATCAAAACATCCAGATTCTTTAAACTTCTAAAATGTGAATGTGCAAATGAGACCAAATGCATAGATAAAAAGGTGATTAAACTAATAAACTAAAACTTAATTAAACAGCGTGAAGAACAACATACTATCTTGTCTATAGAGCTCATCTTCATGTTCCAAGACAATTTGATCTATCCTCCTTCCAAGAAGCTGCAAATAATTCCGAATTTTTGAAAGCACCTGGAAGAAAATAGAAGACCTTATGAACACAACTCCAGCTCACAAAACAATAACAAATACAAAGAAATGTAAAAACAGAAATAGCTAAACCTTCTCCTTGGGAAGATCAGCACTGGTAGTCTGCAATCTTTGGAGACGATGAAGGGTTTTTATTTCATCAATCATAACATCTTCACACCACTCCATCCACTTCACTTCCTTAAACTGCTCATATACTTCCTCATTGTCTGACATTTCACCTTCCTCTTTAACTAAAGGTTCAACTTTCTGAGGCCTCTCAGGTCTGTCCCTACTCATTTTAAAACTGACCTTAGGAGAACCTGGTTTTCCTTTCTTGTCTCTGCCACGAGACATTGATATGTTTAAAGGATTCTGCTTTTCCATCTTTGAAGACTTACGACCAACTTTGATACCAGTATTCTTACCACCAACAGCTGCAACTTCCTGTGAAGAAAGGTCCCAGTCGGTTTATATTATGGATGATGAGGACAAATATGAAGTCTAACTCATGCACGAAGCTTAGAAGCCCAGCACAAAAGCATGCAAAAAACACACGGATGCAAAGGTGATAAAACCATCAAAGAAATATCAGTTGTAAACTTTGGATACTTTAGCAACAAAAATCCAAAACTTTCCAATCATTTAATTCACTGTTAATAAAAACCAATTATGAGGTCAAAGAAGAAAAACAGTCTGTCAATTCTCTACAAAGACAAAAGCAAGAAGTTTCCATGCGAGTAAATATAGCAAGAATTTTCCAACAGAACCAAAACTGTAACAAAACCACTAGATTTCCTATTTTATCAAAAAAAATTAAAATATCTTTTTAAAGAAAAAACATGAATTCGTTTTTTATTAAACAGTAAGAATTAATCTCCATATTATATTGACATTGCAAGTATGAGCAATACCATTTCCAAGAGTGCATTAGCACGTTCCTTCAAATTTGGGGCACGTGGCAGAAAGGTTTCATGGTGCTGAAGTTCCACAGGAGCAATCTTCTTTGTAAGGCCAAGCTGTTCATCTAACCTTATCTTTTCCCAATTCCCAAATCCATGGTAGTGTATTCCCAGAAGCAATCTTGCATCATCAACTAATGATGATAACAGGATAAAATAGGATAAGTCCATAGCAATTTTCTTTTAATTACATTCCTGTAACAGAGAATATAAATAGGATATACATACTCTGATTCCACCCACATCCTTTAGACCAATTAGAGGGTTTAAGGTACATCAATACACGGAACTGTTTTATGGGATCCTCATATCGACTTATTCGCTTTGCTAAGAGCTGAAGTTCTTGGACACGATTGAACAGATCATTTGCCTTAACAGGGACGCCAAAGAAGTCCAATAGCGGTCCCTGAAAGTAATTACCAAATAAAATACCAGAGTTACAGAAGGCTATAGAATTATAACGGATAAAGGATACCAGTGTAGAATTGGAAAACCAAATACAATTCATAATTCCTTGAACGAACCTTAGGTTCTGCATTTCCTACTTCAACTGCTTCTCTGCATCCTTCAACCAAAGCTTTGAAAAGCTCAATCTGTGCGTCAAGTGGAGCTGCTGCAATAGCACCACCAACTTCCTCTGCTATCAAAGGGGTTTGGCTTTCATTCCCAAATTTCATAACCTAATTTTTAGCGCAATAAAGAAATTGCCAAAACACAGAAAATTGGTTAACACTACCTATAATAATTGAAGAGGCAAATGCAACAAATTTGAGAAGAAATGCATAAGGATAGAACAGATGCCATCTCTAATTGGGAGGAATGGGCTGATGAAACAAGAATGTGTACAAGAGGCTCAAAAGGAAATTTAAGTGGTTAGAAGGGAATTAGTTATCCAGCAAAAGTAAAAAAGACATTGTTCAGCTATCCAGCACTACCCTCCCGTGCAGCCAAAGTTATTAGAAAGCAAAATCAAGAGAGGAAAAAAAGTAACTGACATAAAGCTGCACTCATAAAGAGGGCAACTAGTTTCCAGGATCTGAATGATAGGACAGATGTATATTAAAACAAAAGATAAAATCAGAATGAGTCATTTCCATTAAGTTGCAAGTTGCAATGTTTAAGAATAATTTAGGCCAAGACCCAGGCCACAAGATGTACCAACAGTTCCAAAATAATAAACACAAAATTCAAACATGTCCGTACCCACACTAGATATGTAGTTAACTTATCATAGGATTTATAGTAGCAGTCATACATGATATTGGTGTAAAACAAGGAAATAAGGCTTAGTGTGAAAACTGATAAATGATTATAGTTCATTAGTGGAAAGCAGTTAGAACCTGTTAAGCTTGCTCCTAGCGTAAATAAATTAAGGCTCAGTCAGGATATCGACTCCCACTTTTGACAATGGCAAATTATTTTCCAAAATTTAATCCTAATGTTCTTTTCCCCATGAAAATAATTTCCATCCAGTAATTTTCTTATATTGCACAATACCAGCAAAAAAATGCAGAAAATATGGTCTCATAAGTAATTCAAAGAAAAAACTGAAGGGGTAGGTATTTGCTTTACATATTCTGCAGGCCTCAGTGTCCAATAGACCTAAGGAACACAATAAAATCAAACAAAAGATACAAAAGAGGCCAAAACATGATTTCAACAAAAGAACAGCTATCCATAAGGAAAGATGGTCTAATGTTTAAGAATGTCTTAATAACCTGTAACTAAGAATAATAAAAAGTATGCTATGCTTTAATTAACTAATACATTATGTTACTACCTACTGCTTGGAAGCATATGTAAAAATTAATTCACTTTAAAGAACTTTCATGGTAAATGGGTTGCACTAAATAGAGAAAATTTGCCGCAGATAATATTTTAAGTAGCAATATAAAAACATGCTGCAAGATTGTTTAGAAAATATAAATGGAGGAATATGCTTTTATATGCCACACAAATTCCAGAAGACTAGCAACTATACCGCTCGAGAAAAACGCAATGCATCTCTTTTAGAAAGATTCCCATAAGACCATCCTCTCACTTGAGCAGTTGCTCCCTCAATCATTGGTGTCAATGGGGCAGAGTATTCTGCTTTACGGCGCTTTTGTACTCTCTCCTGAAGCTCCTGAGGATCAGAGCCTTTCTTCTTTCTTTTGTTACTTCTCTCAGGTTGACTTGTCTCAGCATAACTCTTGGTATTTCTTGCAGCACGAGGAGCTAGAGCATCCTAATGCAAGAAGAATAACTTGGACAGATGGATCCAACTAATTATCTAATATGAACATAGAACTTAAAAATGTAAAAGCCAAATTCAAGAAACTTTTGGTAGAATAAGATTGATAAAAGATATCAGGATCATACTTCGGCTTGCGCAATGGCATCTGGTTTTATCCAACGACTCCAGAAAGTCCCATCATCTTCAGCACTACAGAAATTTGCAACCTGAGCATGATAAAAGAAACAGAAACCCATTTACATAAGAGTTGAACGAATCTATAAACATATTATAACAAAACTCCACCACTATATCAAAGTATTAGTTGCTTGCCTTAAAAGCACTCAATAATTCATTCCCTTCTTCTTCACCCTCTTTCTCCTCAACCTTCTCTGCCCTTTCAAGAATTTCATCGATATCCATACTTAACAACCTTTTTTTGCTTTCTTCATCATTTTTGTCCTCCTTGAACAATTCCTCAGCCCCAAATCTCAAAATTGCTGATAACTCATTCTAGAATGGTAAAAAAATATAGAATTGTGTTAAGAATAAAAAAGTACTAAAAATTTACATAGCAACACCACACAATATTGGCATCCAGGAAAGAAGTGGTCAATCATGGTGGTTCCAACAACCATAAGCCAGATATACAACGTATTAAAGACTACAGACTCGAATAATTACTTCAAGACATATCCTTACCTTATCAAAGTAACTCCCTTTCTTTGTTTCTTTTCTCTCCAGTCTACCCTCTGCATTTAATTTTTGGATCACCAAATGGTCAAGCACCTGCAGAAAGCATGACACAAGAAAACACGTAAAATTACTCACTTTAAAAGCAGAACAGGAAAATTAAATTAGGCTCTTTTCACATGCACATATAATTTACACTAATATGTGAATAATGTATGCATATGAACAAATTCATGCTGGTTAAGGTGAATGACCATCTTCTTCTTAGCTCGCTCCAGGATGTCTTCCTCAACACTTTTGCTTGTCACAAATCTGTAAATGTTGACAACTTCTTGTTGCCCAATTCTATGAGCTCTACTCATTGCCTGAAGCAAAATAAAAAAGTAAGCACAAATAACACAATTAAAATTTCACTGGAAACATAGAAAATGATGCTGGTAAAAACATAATGTCAAGTTTGAGACCTGTAAGTCATTCTGGGGATTCCAGTCAGAATCAAATATTATAACAGTGTCTGCAGTTGCAAGGTTGATACCAAGGCCACCAGCCCGAGTAGAAAGAAGGAAGCAGAAATCATCACTTCCAGGTGCATTGAAATGATCCATAGCCTGCTGTCGCAACTCTGCCTTTGTACTACCATCAAGCCTCTGGAATTGGAATCCTCTGAGCGACATGTACTCGGCTAGTATATCCAGCATTCTAACCATCTGAAAATTTTTACCATTTTAGTAGAACATGAACATGTAAAACACCAGATCGCATAACTTAATCAAATTTATCCTCCATTAAAAACATAAACACCGACTAGCTTAGGTTCTAATATCCATAGGACAACTGTCAAACACCCCATCCATGATGGGATTAGAAATATAGAATAAAGAAAAAAATGTAAAAAGAAGAAAATTAATTAAACCACAAAACATACAGACAACACTTTTTGTTTATTCAGTTGCCCTCTTTTCCTGAAGAATTCGGATTGGATAATTGCCATAAACCTAATGACCTGGCTGACCTATGTCACAAATACAATAATGTCATTTCTTACCCCCACCCCAAACAAACACATAACATCAGTCCTAAGCTTTGTTGGATTAAAAGGAGGGGAAGGAAAGTGAAGGGATGCAGGGAGACAGCAAAACTTTTCCTTAATTAGGATTAGTGAAGGGGAAGGGACTAGGAGAGAGTACAGCCAAACCACCATTATCTACAATTCCTCCAAGCTGAGAGCATTTGAAAGGGAGCTATTGCCTACATTAAAAGTTTTTGCTAGAGAAAAAAAAAATTAACCTTAGGTTTGTTTTCTTTTTAACTCAAAGGATGCAACCATAAAAGTATATTAAAAGTAATCATCTCATTTCCTTTCCACTCCTTAACCAAACAAGTTGTGTAACATTAACCCTCTTTCTCTTGCCTTCCATTATATTTACCAAACCAAAAAAAAAAGGAACCATAACCTCTCATACTCCCTCTTCTCCTCCCCTTCAATTTCCTACCCTCTAAGTTCCCAAACATAGCATAAAAGATTGAAGTGAACAAGTGGCTGAGAAGTATGTAAAGGAATCCAATACGAACCTGGGAGAAGATTAGAACACGATGCTTTGTTTCATGCAACCTCATAAGCAACTTGTCAAGTATAACTAGCTTCCCACTGCTTAATATAATTCTCTCCAGTTTACTAATATCATTCATGCTAGTGTCCCCACCATAACCATGATCAGCGCTTTCAAACAGAAAAGGATGATTGCAGCATTTCTTCAACTCTACTACTATATTTAAAAGTGAGACCTGCAATTTAAAAGAAAAGACCTGCCTCAACTTTCTATAATTGGTAGCACTGCTTGACAATAACAGAAAGCGAAGAAAAACTCTGTAAACTGGTTTTACAGCAATACATACTTCATCTATATGCTGCATACTTTATCAGTAATAAAAATAAGTAAGATCAGAGAAAAAGAAGACAAGCACCACAAAGGCACTGCAGAGATAAAATCTCCAAGCAGCAAAATAATAAGAGATACTAACCTGATTGCCACGAACACCTTTATTTAGGTCATGGAAGTTGCGTTCCAAAATCCACTTATAGTACCTGCATAAATACAAATGGTATCCCATGTTTATGCAATAGAAAACAAGAAAAACTTATTCACAAGAAATTTATAACTCTTACTGTCTCTGAAGTGGGGACATCTCAACCCTAAGGATACGCTCAATTTTCGGAGGCAAAGACTTCTCTACATCCTTTATAACTCTTCTAAGAATGTGAGGCCTCAATTCCATGTGAAGATTAGCAAGCTATGTTGCAAATTCAATACAGGTTTTGGTTTTAGATCAAGTCAAATAAATAACTTAACAACCTAAGAAACATGATAAAAAGATCTAATGACTAATGGCATACCTCAATTTCATTAAACAAGCTAAGGTTCTTGTAATTTTGAACAAACTCATCCTTACTTTTGAACTTGTCAGGATCAAGGAAATGAAGCAGAGCCCTGTCAAAACATTTTTCAGGGATATAAATAATGGAATATACTAGCTGAAGAAGCAAGCAAGATTTATTCATCAGTCCATGAAAAAGGAATTGCAAGTCTATTTGCCATGCTATATTACAATTTTGAAATGAATAGAATTATGGATTCCAGAAAGATGGAGAGTGTTGTTATCATAAAATGATTTAGTCAGCAAACTCAGCTATCCAGGAACATTTCACATGAGAGACAAAAGACACATATAAAAGCATATCAGGCAGTCAACAAGAAAGAGTGGGAAAACAGTCACATAAAAAGCAGTTATGGTGAATGCAATTAGCTCACATCAACATCATTATCATTAGAGTTGCTAACAGATGAACCAAGCAGATATTCTTGAAAGGTTCATGTACTAACATAGAGCAGCATGGAATCAGTGATTAGGAAAAGATAATTAACACAATAATTTCTTATGCTCAGCTCCTTCATTTGTTTTAAAAACTCAAATGCAGAATTATTCAAGCATAAGAAGTCACTTCATTTAACTTTTGGTAAATATAGATTGAACTAAACCCCATATATATATATAGGGATCAACTTACACCAAAAAGTTTTACACTTTTTTCTAACTATTGATTTTAATAGATCCAAGAAATGAGATTAACCCATTTTTTCTCTTTATCACTTGACTTCCTCATCCCTAGGATCTATTGAAATCAATGGTTAAGAAAAGTGTAAAAGTTTTTAGTTTTACACTTGTATAAGTTGATCCCTTCCCTACATACATATATATATGCATGCATGCATGTATGTATGGATGTACGTACGTATGCATGCATGCAGGCATGTATGTATGTATGTATGTATATATTATGTATATATCACTCCTGATTTCTAAATAAGAGAAGGCAGACATGTCTTAAGTACATCTAGACAAATAAAAGTACCAATATTAATAAAATTAAATTTTGGAAGAAGAATTTTATTCTCAAGAAACTTACTATAGTTATAAAATATGATGAAAAGCAGGCAAAGAAACTTAGCAATGTCTGAACGCAATCATAATGTTGATATCAGAAAAAAAAAATTCAGCTTTGACAAAATCATTTTTAGGAATGTATCTAAAAAACTGGAAGATAAAAGTCTGCTCCTAATGTTAGCACAACCTCCAATATTCGTACTAATACAAGAAAAAGAAAATAATACCATAGCTCCTCAACACTGTTTTGTAACGGAGTTCCCGTAATTAGCAACTTGTTCTTAGTGCTGAATTCCTGACCAAACAGAAAGAATCACCCAATATTAATCAAATTAACAAACCAATACAATGATGCAGGGCAGAAATTTGAAGTTATTGAATAGGCCATACTGAAAGCGTTGTGTACAACTGTGCCTCGCTATTCTTCAACCTATGAGCTTCATCAACCATCAAATAGTTCCACCTTATCTTAGACAGTACTGCCTTATCCTTCAGAACTACTTCATAAGTAGTTAGAAGGGTGTTAAATTTTATAGGTCTGCCAATTTTCTTGTCATTGTAAAATTCATATTGCTGACAAACCTGCCAACAAAAAAAGAAAAGAAACTGTAACAAGTAGGGTGGGGAAGGGTTAAAATTATATGAACTACCACCCACCTATGTAAGATACACAAGTGACCAGGAACAAGGTCTAACAGAAAATTAAAACTTCACTAGGCACATAAAGATTAACAAAAAAGAGCTATACACCAAACAAATATTTGGGTGGAGACAAAATTGTAACCTATAAAATAAAGTCAAGCAACTGCAAAAGTTTAATCTACTTGCATAAAGGAGCATACATACAAGAAAAACATGACTCACCTCTCGGCTTGCACGAGTACCTACATAAACAATAACATTCATATCTGGAAGCCACTTCCTAAATTCTTTAGCCCAGTTTGATAAGGTGGATAATGGTACAACCACAAGAAATGGGCCAGGTATTTGTTGAGCATTCTGAAAAAATAAAAAATATCAACGAAAACTCCTTCAACTTCAAAATAATAAGACAGCTCTTCTTAAAGGACAGTGGTGCACCTGTAAGAAACCAAGCATAGATACTGACTGAACAGTTTTACCAAGACCCATTTCATCAGCTAAGATGACATTAGTATCATTTCTCCAACTGTTATGTGAATATGAAAAAGGGGCATTAATGGATGTATCAGAATGCTCTGGATTAAGACAAACATTTAAGTAAAATAAAATGCTAACCTAAAGCAACGGAGACAAGCATATACCTGTTAACAAGAAAATTCAAACCCTCCAGCTGATAATCACGAAGCTTTCCTCCCTTAACCACTCTGGCTGTTCTTCGAGTTTCCGCAAAATTGCTTAAGATGAAAAATGTAACCCAGTTCAATGATCCATTTACATGACTAATTGTGAAACTATAACAATAAATCTAGCAGAAACTAAGACCTTCAAAAGGGGGCATAAGGGTCAGGGACTGTATGATGCAAAACTTTAATTATACACACATACGGAGTAAAATTTTTGTAGCGTATACCTCTGCCCTTCTTACGCTGGTGATCTACCATTTTCCCCTGCTCAGCCATTGCAGCTTCACGAGCCTGTTTACAGAATGAGAAATACATGTGTTGAATTGGTATTACAATATGAGATAATATTTTATTTATTTATCTGAGCATATTAAAAATAATTAAAACAATGCATAGAACAGGAAACTCCAGTGACTGGACTGGACAAGGTAATAACAGATAATGTGTTAGAATGAGCATTACAACTTTCAACTTCTCATGCCCGATTTCAGTTCGAACCCGATGCCTGCTCATGGCTTATATGTTTAATAACCAAAACCAGCATGTAATGTGATAAGATATACAACCTAATGTTCAATTCGTCAATTGCCTTGACTAACTCAGCCCACATTAATCTTCTAGAATATTTAACAAGTTACAGACTGCTTTAATTTCCTGGAAATGAAGATATGTCAAATAAAGTCAAAAATTAAAAAAAAAACCTGGTTTACATTCTTTTGGGATATTTAAAAAAGAAAATAAGGAGAGTTAAATTTGTAATTTAGTTGGTATACTACCTATTTTTCAAACACTGAAGTTAACTATCGTGACCCATTTTAACATGCAATGACAAAAGAGACCAATATCTCTGCACAATTAACACACCCTGTGTTCCATAAAACTAGCTTGCATTCATTTGCTTTAACCTACTTAAAGATCAAATTTAATACATTACTGCAATATGTCTAATATGGCAACATGGGCCCATGTCAGCAATACCTGCTGCAACGACATATTATGCAGAAAGGAAAAGATAGGTCATAAAAACGTCAGTCTGAATACTTTGCCTCACTTGCCTAGGGGGCGTAGTGTCCACAATGCACACACGTCCAGGCGGACAACATTATGAACACCACCATGGTAGCTATTACAAACAAATGTAATAATAATATAAAAACACAAAGACAAAATTTGCAGGATGTGTTACCTTATATTCATCAATAGCATCTTGAGCAAATGTAATATCTATATCCTTTTCCCTGGTACAACAAATGTAACCATAATCATAAATACTGCAGCTGTGTTAAGCAGGACATGCAAATAGAAGAAAAAGAAAGAGAACACAGTAGACAATAGCACCACAGGATAATAGAAACTTAGTTGGAGGCATAGAGACACTAATTTTAAATTTATTGAACTATCAATGTAGACCATTACCAGGTTGCTTCCGCATAAGACAACCCCTGCCACTTGACTAAATACTCTGACATTACATTCCCAAAGTCATCTTTACTTATACGATCAACAATTACTCTCTCCACCTGAAAACAAAAATGGTGAACCAATTACAATTAACTTAAGGAGCACAACACAGAAAACCAAGCATAACAATGAAAGAAACAAAGAATTGATAGAAACCAACCTGATTATTTTGCTTGATTAGATCCAAGTCCATTTCCTTACTTACATCGTTGACCTCAATCTAAAATTTAATAGAGAAAAAAAATTAGAAATGAGTTACTACAGCAAAAAGGTTTATCTTAGAATCTGTCTAATGCAAGTGTATATAACTTTTTCATTTTACTCTCCCTGCCAAGGCAGGAAGAACTTGTTTCACATATTCCAGGCTCCACAATAAATGTGCAATTTACCTTAAGATCAATGAGATCAACAATATACCTCATGAAGTGATGAGGATAATTTTGAAAAGGTTACAAAACCAAAAAAGAAACGGTATTGATAATAGTATACACTGCTGCTATCAGCATACGCTAGATACGCAAATTATTTATGAAATAAACACAATAAAAGTATGCAACAAATCCAGTCTCCCAACAGGAAAAAAGGATATAGATAATGACCAAAAACCAACAAAGACTTAATAGGTTACCCCTCATCTAGTGAATTTACAAAAATATATAAAATAAAATTTTAAAAAATGGACTAGCTCAAACATCTTGGTGAAGTGACAGTCCGCCTTCGAGAAGAGATGAACAGAATCCTAACTTGTCCCACAATGTTTTTTTTTTTTTTCGTTTTCCCAACAAGCTTGATCTTTCAAATAGTTAATCTTCAAGGAACTAAATGCGGTGCTATACAACTATTTCCTCTTCATTTACCATGACAATGATCAATGAAATTGCCACACAGCAAAATATATAGTGTATGAATTTTTGTTCAAAAGAATTTAGATAAGTAATAAATTCAGTAACTAAAATAAGTAAAACTCCCAAAGTGTTTCAGTTGTTTATCAACAAGTTGAAATGAGAATTTCAGAAACAAAAGTTTATAAATGCAAAAGTACCTCCTCACGTGAGAGTGCCTTCCTGTATCTCACATCCTCCATTACCTTTTTTGTGTAATTTAGAACCTTCTTAAAACCACTAAGCTGCAAACTCACATATAAAAACACAAAGAACCAGTCATTAGAGAAAGAAGACAGAGAAACCCGGGGCACTAGAAATAAACCTCCACAAAATAATGCTCTTAAAAGACACATGCACTAATATAAATAATATAAAGAATAAAATCATACATTCTGTAGCTCAAAAAATGATTTCCACTGACAATGAAGATGCGACTGGCCCTTCCATTTTATCAGGAATTCCATTTCATTCCAATCTGGTTCAGAATCAAACAAGTGGCTTAACAAAACAGGTTCTGCCGATCTATTGTTTCTAATTGCATCTTCAGCCATGCCCTTCGGTTGATGCCATAACACCTTTTCAATTGAGTCACCATCTTGCTCTTCAGCTTCATCCTAAGCAAACAATATAAATTTTTAAAAAAGAATAATATCTCTCAAAGAGCATCATAAGATTTAGATGTTTCAAGATAGTATATTGAAATTCACAAAAAAGGATGCACATTTACATAAACTGAACAAATTCAATAAATGTCAAAAAAACAACAGGGCCTCACAAGGCTGCCTCATTATCTTACATTCAAGTATGCAAGTCCATGTGTCACGGGCCGAGACTCAAGCTCCAAACTCGCACGGCTCCAAGACATGACGCGGAAGAGTCCATTCCCGTGACCTGGAGCCTGACACTCAGCCCATGACACATGCACCTCCCATCCCATTCATGCAAGTTCAAAGTTCAAGGCTTATCCCATGTAACCAAAACAAAGGACAAACACATATAAAAACAAACAGAAGTAGGGCCAACATCAACAATTGAATTGGAAAGTCAACACCTTTTAAACCAGGGATCTTTGGTAACAGTAACTTGAAGTAAGCTAAAAGGACAAGGGCAAACAAAATACTTGGATTGAGCAGAAGTGCCATGGTATTTACTTCAACCCAAGTTTAGAAATTATAAATCGCCCAGGTATAAATACTATTAGGAAATGTTATGACCCTAGCCATGCAACTGTGATTAATACAGGTTCAGAAAAATGGATAGAGACATGCAACTCAAATGCTGATTAGAGTCAATATAACATTTTATCAGCCAAATACATAAATACCAACTTGAATAATTACATCTCACAAGTCCATTTTACTATCAAATAATTGTATCAATATGAAAGATCCAACTAATCTTCTAAAAATATAATGTAGGAAATTATAACCATGAGTTAAAGGTAACAAAAATGTTATGGTCCTAGCCTTGCAACTGTTAACCAAGAACAAATTAGACAGGTTCAAACAACATGGATATAGAGAAAGGCATGCAACTGAAATGCTGAAGTCAATATTACATTTTATCTGCAAAATTCATAAATACCAACTTGTATAATCTACATCACAAAATTCCAATTTACAAGCACACAATTACATCAAATGTAAAAGATCAAACACACCTAATAAAAACATAAAGTAGGAAATAATAACCATAAAAAGATATGCAGACTTCACCTTTAGTGACTTTTTCTTCTTGCCTTCATCAATTTCTTCACTTTCTTCACTCTCAACATATGATACTTTCCGAACAGACCTACTAGAAGTACGAACCTCACTGTTTCTTCCCATGCTCGTCGACATATTAGAACGAGCATTATTTTTACGGTGATTTCCACCTCTCCTTGCATTGCTCTTGAAATCCCCATTACTTTCACTGTCAGAATCCTCAGCTGAGTATTCATCCTCCTCAAAAGATGATCTCCCTCTTCTTTGTCGATTGGAGGATTTACGTTCTCTAGTGAGTTTTACATTACGACCAACTTTAACCTGTTGCGTACCCTTAGGTTTCTTTCTATAATAAGAATCATCTTCATCTGAGATGTCTACATCACCATCACTATTGTCTTCTTCCTCAGAATCTTCACCATCCCAGTCTTTATCCTGTTAAATAAGAACTAAATTAGTGGGGAGAAGAATCAGGCAGATGATAAGCCATAAGCAACACAGCCAACATGAAACAAACTTAATGACCAATGCAGAACATATTTTTCATCAAAGAACATATATCCTCCCAAAAGCCCCTCCATTATTCCCCCAAGAACCTTTGAAACTAATTTTACCAGTCTGAAGTGAAATAATAAGTGAACATCATGTCATGAAGTACATGCATGGAGAAGAAGGTTATAAAACACAAAATAAAAATAAAATCAACACAAATGCTCAAAATCTCAATCTATTGTGTAAAATCCATTTAGTCTCATTCTTAACATTCTGATGCCAATACAAATTCACTCAAGGGGTGTGAGCTTTAACTTTACTAGAATACACCATAAAACAACCGCGCCTAAACTTCTGGAAATTATCATACTTAATGTTTTAATGTCTTCTATCCATGCCTAACCTCTGAATTTTCACTTTTCAGTCAAAAAAAAAAAGTCATTAGAAAAATTTAAAGCATAAATCATATTTAAATTGAACAAAACTTTGGTTGGACATGCAAGGGGATAGATCAATTAAGACAATCTACCAAAGCATAAAAGGTTCATACTCAACTCTGGAGAAAACCCAAAAAAAAAAAGGTCCTTCAGAATACATGAGTATGAAGAACCTAAGTAGACCTTAACAAGCAGAATTATTTTCAAACCATAGTTTGTTTTGAAGCCAAACAATAAGACCTTAAATTCATAATTTAAATAATCTGTACATATAAGCTGGGCTCCTGCCCTCATCAAAGAGATAACTTTGAATGCAATCCCGCAAAAACTACCAACTTTAGTTGCAGTTCCCCTAAATTCACTCTTACTAGAAACGCAATTGAATCTTTTTTCCTCATATATTAAATTTTCCCTAAAACTCATCAATGGTCTCAGCCCAACAAATAAAGACCTATATCAACAGTCACTCCATTATATAGTCACATTGCAAAATCTAAAGCAGCCCCATTCCAATCCTACAAATAGCAATCCACAGACTTCCATCCGAACTTTCTCCCTTCCAAGGCCACCAAAAAATTCTATCCTACATAGCCACTGGTTAAATAATGGGAAATCATTCATCATTTAGATAGCAATAAAAAGCTTTTTCAGGTGACTAGATACACTTTCAAAAACCAATAACAATAATTATCTACCCTAATTGCTCAGCTAACCAAGTTTGACTCCCCTAAAGTCCATTAGAGACTCCACTCCATCCATAGATGCCAGGGTAGGTGTATGATGTGTCCTTCATTAAGATGGACTGGAGTCTCCAGAGCAATAAAGAGGATCAAATCTGTCCAACCCAATTAACCACATGCAGCTTTAATTCTGCCACACATGCCACAGCTCAAGCAGCCCAACAAGAAAGAGTTGGCAAGCATTAACAGATAACCTAAACCAATATGCCCTACATTTCACTCAAATTTAGGCCTTTTTATTACCTATCTCCAAGCACCACCATATGCTAAACATAAAAACAATAAACGCCTATGAACATCTTTCACTAATTTACCATGGATAATCTTAATTCTGGCCCTATAATTGAATATTATAGCATGTACCTTCAAAACCCAGATTACAGTTTACAGGTTAGCATGATGATTAAAAAGTATGAAAGTTTTAGTAGTATTCATCACCATTTCCATCGGAGCAAAGAGAAACACTAGTGAAACCCTATTTTTCTACATTCTAAAAGAGCTATAAATTTCGTAGCATCCAACACCAGTATAATAAGGAACGTGTTCTCATCCCCTGTGCAGTGATACACAATTCATGGCATTAAACAACTTCATCTTCAAATGGCCAGAAAATTTTCCTTTTTTACCAGAAGGTCCAGGGCGGCTAAAATTTGAATGCAACATTTTACTCCATAGCCAACCATCTTTTAAACCCTAGAGAAAAGGATGGACAGGAATCTAAAATATGTTACACGGACTCTTCACTTTACTCTAACATACCTAGGGGTGTAATCGAGCCGAGTCAAGCCGAATAGTGAGAAGCTCGAGCTCGACTCACAATTCGGGGCTCGGTACTCTGCTCAAGCTCGATCGAGTTTTATTTTTCAAGCTCGAGCTTGATTCGTGATCGAATTCGAGCTACTCGAGCTCGCTCGATTAAGCTCAATTAATATGTAAAAATAAGCTCAATTCGTATACTCGACAAGAGTTCGATTATTCATGCTCGAACTCGAACTCGGACTCGAAATATTTTATTAATTAAAATAATAAAAATATATTTAAATATAAAAGCTCGATTAGGCTCGCGAGCTACTCGAATCGGATATAAGAATACTCGAATTCGGCTCGATTGATAAGTCGAGCTACTCGAGCTCGAGCTCGACTCGATAATAATCGAACCGAATTCGAGTTTTCTTCGAATCGAACCCAAGTAGCTTGCGAGTACTAATGTATCATTTACACCCCTAAACATACCCATGTCCAACACTTTTAGGACACTTCACAAATCATATAGGTATAACACTTTCATCCTTAAAAATAATGTAAAAAATTGTCACAAACATAATTTACCCTTGTTAGACACGTAGCTAGCATTAACAACCTATCCCTAGTACAAGTGACATCAACCGACATGCTTCTAGTCCTACAATTAAATAGAGCAGCTTATTAACATTCTCCTTTCTTCCTGGTTATCTTTCTACTTGGGCCAAGGAAGGGTTGGGACAAGATATGCCTCTAGAAAACTACAAATGTGAAGGCATATAAAATAAAAATCGTAAAGTTTAAACCAAAACAAAAGAAGGTGAGAAATAAATCTAATTTAATAACCTTATTCCCTGTATGAGCACTTGCAACACCATAGTCAGGCTCAAAATCAGCATCATCAGGGTCATCCTCTGCAAATAAGACAGCAAAAGCTTCGCATCTCAAAATCAAGAGTAATACAAAATTGTTCTATAGTTCAAAGAATACGATTATATATCATCCATCAAATTCAATGCACTGGTTTATTCAACGTTAGTGACTCATTGTGGAACAATGTAATAAGAAATAAGGCAGAAAATGAAGATAAGAAGGGAAGATATAGCTTACCATCTTCTTCTTCCTCCTCTTCATAATCTGCATCAACATCATCGTTGTTGTCGTCATCATCCTCATCATCATAGTTACGGTTATTTAAAGTTCTTGAGCTCCTGGACATAGTGGTACTGACAGAAACAGGCTTTGGTTGTGGCCTAGTATTTAACCCAACAGAATTGCTAAAGCCTCTGTAATGCATCATATCACTTTGCTCTTCCCCATCCTGTTCATAGTATTCATCAGATAACATCTCATCTGCAGGTACATCAGAATGACCCCTTTGAGCCTTGCCCAATTCTTTCTCTGCCTCATCATCTTCCGATTCTAACCTATCATCCCTGTCATCTGATGAATTATATACCGAACCTTCCAAATTCTTGTGGTCAGATTTTGACTCCTGCCCAGAATCAGATCCAACCCTGCAGTCCGTAGGCTGGCAGTCCTTCCAAAAAGTTGAACCCCATTTCCCAGGAGCTGTTCTTCTTCCTGCTGGCTGAAAAATGGAATTCGAAACACCAGCCCCATTATCAGTAGGCACCTCATGATTCAGCCTAAGAGCATCATCTGCCTCCCCATCACTTTGACACTGTGTATCCATGTTAATATCAAATTCTCTTTCACTATAAGTCCCATCTATGTCCTCATTCCGTACTGAACTGTGAATCCTACCAATGCTTTGTCCCTGGCTTTTCTCTTCCAAGACACCGTGCGAGACCATGTCATTTGAATAGTTCCTAAAAAACGCCATCTTCTCACATGGAAATCCTATGCAAATAACTCCCGTCTTCAACAACTATGTCTATGCAAAAAGATTGAGGAAATACAAAGAAGCTTCACAATCTTTGCTGAGAACCTGAATAGTAATCAGCCAAACTCTTTAGTCCTTCTGAGATAAACCCAGAGCACACAACTGACAAAGAGGAATACAAAGTGAAGAAAAAAATAGGTATTGCTCACAAAACTCTCTTACAAAGAATCTGGAGACAAAAGAATATAATCTTCATTAAAGAATACAATTTACTTTAAAAAAAAAAAGACAATCATCGCCTAGCTGAATAATCAAAAATTCAATATTCAACGTTAAAACTCTGTAAGTTTAGCTACATTTGCTGAGCAAGCAAAGAGTTCAATGAGAAGAACATAGCCAAATGCAAATTCAAAGTCATTATTGAAGTTGCAAGGATGAAACATCGTATGAGAACTTCACAAATCGATACATAAAACTGCATAATTGAATAACAATTACTTCGTTGGATCAAATACAATCCTAAAAAACTAAGAAACAAGAAAGTGTTGAAGTCAACCATAAAACCAAACAAATTCAAATTCACACACTTGCCAAGTGAATTCAAGCACAAAAAAGATCAAAATTCTAACCAAAGCAATCCAAACAATGACAAACTCCACCCCGAAAAGGCAGAAGAAAAACACGAATCGAACAATGCAAACGACAGATCCATCACTCCAAACACGAAAACGAAAAAAATCAAACACTAGAAACTCCTATTAACAAACCCTAAAATTAAACATAGAAAGCAACAATTAACAATCCAAAACCCTAAATTCATAGCCTCATGGAAAATTGAGTAATAAATTACAAAACGACCGCCAAAAAATAGCCGATTATTGTTCAAAAGAAAAGAGCCTTTATGAAAATAAAGAAGAGTTTTTATGGGTAATAAGGAGAAGAAATTTATTGGGTATAAATGGAAAGGATGCGCAGGTTAATAATCATGCGCACCTTTTAAGTAGCCCGGAAATTGAAACACAACCGGAGCCAAATTTTTTTGAAAACAAAGAGACCGTTTTCACTCGGGTCTCTCCCGGGTTTACGGATTCAGGGTGGTTCGGTTCTTTTTAATCGGCGCCGGTGGCTAAGATGCGCAGAGTGGAAGGTGAAAGGTCCGATTCGAAAGGAGGAAGACGATGCGTTTTTTTGGATTAATCGTCAGAAAAGAAACATATGGAGAGCGTGAGTTTTTTTCTAGAGAGAGAAACAAAATCAAAGGAAAATAAAAGTTTTAAGATGTGAAATAAGGGAGGGGATTAATTTCGTTAGGAGAAACGTGTTTATAGAAAATAAAAACTCTCTCCCTATTCTAAAACCTAAATATAAAATTAAAAAATTCTTTATTTTTTTTTAGTAGTAGTATTTTAGACCTTTTTTTTTATTGTTTCTCTAATTTCGTTTTTTATTTACTTGATGCGAATGCAATGAGGCCACGTGGCGATCGTTTGTGTCGGGAGATTTTGGACGATTAATCGTACGTGCACGCGGTTATGGTGGTGGGTTGAAAAAATTTTGATGAGGGGTTCTTCGAGTTCGGTAGTGGAAGAGGATAAAACAATGAAATGACTAGATGTCCTTTACGCAGAAGTGTTAAATATTTTTCGGGGGCTTAAAATTTTCTTGTAATTAAATTATGTCAAATTTTCATGATAATATATAAAATCAAACCTCATGTTAATACATGAAAAATGACTAATTTAAAATATAAATTACAATAATAAATTTTTAAAAATTTATTTAATAAAATTTAACTTATAATAATACAAATAGAGATGTTAATGGATAGGGTATAAATAAAGTAAAATATTCTCGATTTCTAATTCTAAATTTTTATATTATATCAATATCGGTATTTATATTTAACGGATATTTTAAATTTATTTTTATTTTTATTCTTATGAGAATTTAATGGATATGAGTAATTCTTATACATATAGCTTTTATAAAAAAATAATATTTTATTTTTTTTATTTTTATATTATATATTTAGATTTTTTATAAATATATATTAATATATTTTTTAATAAAAATATTAATTCTAATTAATTTAAAATAATAATTTATATTATTTAATAAAAATATATTTACTAAATATATAAATATATATATATAAAGTATGAATATAAGACAGGTACTAAATTACCTGTTCTCATCCCATATCCAATAAAATTTAAAATCATACACATTTTTATCATATACCAACAATATAAAACTGATCTTCATTCAGATATAAAATCAAAATTTTTATTAGATATAGGTAAAATTGACATCCCTAAACATAACAAGCTATTTTTAAATTTAAATTTTGATCATATCATTATCAAAAGACTAAATGTTTAATTTAAAACTTAATATTTAAAAAGGACTAGTTTTAAACCTGATGCACCAAATTATATTTATTTATTAATAAATTTATATATAATATTTTTTAAAAATTATAAGAAAAGCTTTTATGTTTATGAACAATTCAAAATTTATATATTTTGAGTTGTGTAATATTAAACATGACAAAACAATATATAATATTGATTTTGAACATAACATAAACCTTAAAAACTTTAACATATAAAAAAATTAAAATATTAAAATAAACTCTCAATATTTTATATTAAGTTGCATAAAAAACAATTAACATATATATGAAGAGATAGGCCTTAAAACAAATATATATATATATATATGTTAGAAGTATAGAAAATATGGAGAAAACGATTAAATTTCATAATAATTTTATTGTTTGAGATTTTTTTTTTTTTTCTATATCGGAGGATTTGAGAGAATCAATTCCAACCCATATGTTAATAACAACGTGATAGTTCTTCTAGTGAACCATGACTAATTATTATTATTTCTTTTGGTTGAACCCCTATTAGATAGTTTATACCCTACTATTAATTTGGGACTATGAACGTTCAATTAACATTTGACAAATTAAGTTATGTAATTGGATGACACGTGTATTTAATTTTGATGTTTAAGTGTGTATGCTAATGACAGCGTGATAGTTCTTTTAGTGGAGCATGAGTAAGTATTATTTTTTTTGGCTGAACTTCTATTAGATAATCTATACCGTACTATTATTTTAGGATCCCGAACGTTCGATTGACATTTGAGAAGTTAAGTTATGTGATTAGATGACACGTATATTTGATTTTGATGTTTAAGTGGGCTATTTAGTATTTGGGTCAAATGGGTTCCGTGTTACTATATTTGACTTTTCACTTATCATTCGGAACAACAATAGAAGCAACCTTCATTACGATTTCATTATGATTTCATAGTCCTAGGAACTGAACTCAAGGAATGCATCATCAACCGTATTTTTTCTGCTAATAGATTGAAGGTCTTCTTTTTCTTTTATTTTACTTTGCTACAAAATCTTTTCAATTATATAGTGGTTTTATTTGTTTTCTTAAATTTTTTTTTTATACTAGATCTTTCTTCTCATAGGTCTAAACGGATGCCTGTTAGATTTTAAGTGAAGAGACGACTACTTCCTTCAATCCAATTTTTTTTTCCATTTTCGTGCCAGTTAGATTTTGTATTTTCCAAACCCATGAAGGTGCCTATTTCGTTCAAATTGAATGAAAGTGAAGAGACGATTATTCCCTCAACCATAGAAAATCCTTTCTTCCTTGTAATTACTATTTCCAAATTTTTTAGGATTTTTGGTATCATTTTTTTTTTGTTTCATATGTTTTTGTCTTATGACTCTCTATTTTCCATTGAAATATTGATGTATTATCTCCACTTTCCGCTTCTTATTGATTATACTGGTGTTGTTTTTATGGATTTCTCATTTATATTTTTGTAGAAAAATATCATGGCATGAAAGAAACTTCTAATTCTTTTCATGGTAATTTTTTTTGTTTTTAATTTTCATCTATTTATTTTATTTCCTTACAATTAAATCAGCAACATGATTGATCAACAATTTGAACTTTGATATGGATCACGAGATCATTGATTTGCTGCTACTTTCCAATGATATGCATGTGATTATACTGAAGTACATTGCAAATTGATTGCTAAGTGACTTCCACAAACTATAACCCTTCTACTTCATCAGTCTAATCAGTGTAGTCCATGTTTTAAATTCCCATTTTGTTTTTATATTTTAGATTCGTCCACTCCACTATTGCTTCTTTTGTAAGTGTTCAGTCTTTCGTTTCATTCTTTAGTTTTTATTTTTTTATTTTTACTCTTATTGTATTATAGTTATTTGATTACCTATATAATTTCTTTTGCTTGCTTGGTTCGAGAGTCTTTCTTGCTTATTTCCCCTTTTTAGGGTTGTATGATTAACATATTATTGTATGATTTATAGATATATTTTTATTAACTGTTTTTTAATCTTGGGTAAGCATATATTATGGTTTTCTCCTTTGAATTATACTTATTAGATATTTGTGTTTATTGGTCTCCTTTTTTATTGGTCTTTTTCTGTTAGATATTCTTTATTTGTCAATATGCCTCTTTAAATCTTCATGAAATTATATAGTTTTATTCTTTAACAGAATGTATGATTTTAGTAGGTTCTCTAATCATTAATTTTCAAAATACACATATTTTTCATAGTTGACAAGAATTTGGGTTATTAAATTTTAGCAAGTTAAATGCCATATGGATTAACAATTATTTTTTTGCTTTATTGCTTATAAGCATTAGTAGTCTAGACTGGTTACACTTTCCAGCAAATCTTGATTCAGGAGGAGCTTGATGGTTTTTTCATGATCGTATGGGTTCTCCATGGAGTGCAAGAAAAGCTAAAATCAAGAGCAAGCTAAAGTAGGATTTGAAGATGATAATAAAAAGAGATCACTCCTTCTTTAAAGATTTTAAATAGGCTTAACGAGCTTTCACTTGCACAAGAAAGCAAAGGTAAGGTTAAATAGATACCTTCTCCTACATTTTAAAGTTTGATGATGCATTGAACATTAATCAAAAATATGGAGTAATAGGTATCATCATTAGGGTCCACCAGGACAAGTAGTGGTAATAGCAGCCATCAAAGCTCCAAGGATTATAGTTTATGCTTTTCATTTGAGAATATCTGAACCATTTTAAATGTTTCTATATATGTTCTTTAACAACTCATTATTAGTTTAAAGTTATATGATGAAGTTTGATGAAGAGTGAAGACCCATTCCAAGTACAATTTTCCAACTGTATTATGTTATGTCAATATAATGTTAGACATGTGTTAAACACGTGTAAAATACAGTCTCCTTAGGGTTTCCTATGGAAGAGTGGGAGTCTTGTCCTAGGTGCAAGAATGTCCGTCTCAAGGCTGCTACGTGCTTTGGCATTCATTTAAGAACAGTAGTTAGAGTTTTATAGATCAGGAACAATTTCAGACGTAGTGGACAATGGATGATATGATGGAATCGATATGGAAAAACCTAAAATTAATTGAGGATGAGAAAGACCAGGTGGTGTCAGAGGCAGATGGGAATAGAAGATGAATAGAAATGGGTAAAGCATGGCTCGTTGCTACGTTACTTATAAAGAGGCCTTATAATAGAGAAGCAATGAAATAAACCTTAAGTCTTCTATGGCGATTAGTCAAACAAGCCAAAATAGTAGATCTGGAAGGCAACATATTCTTGTTTAAGTTTGCTACGATGGTGGATAGGAGGAGGGTACTGAAGGGTGCACCACGGTCTTTTGATAAGCAAATAATACTTTTCAAAGAGTATGATGGAAATTTAAGGCTAGAGGATTATACATTTGACACTGCATTATCCTGGGTCAAGGTTTACAGTTTGCCATTGGGGATGAGGAATCATGAACATGCCACAAGAATTGGAGCAAAATTGAAGAATTGAAAAAAATTACTATGACCACGACAAAGAATGGTGGTCAAGATTTATTAGGCTCAGAGTAGAAATAGATATTACGAAGTCGCTATGGAGAGCCGTACTGCACGAAAGGGGTTTTAAACTAGGTGTGGGAAAGGTTGAGCTATGAAAAACCCCCGAGTTCCTGTTACGAGTGTGGTAGACTAGGGAACAAAAAAATGATTGCGAAGAAGCCCCACAAACGGAGTATGGTCCAACTGGTAGAAAACAATATGGGGCATGGCTTAGAGCATCACCGTTAAAGCACAAGAAGACAGAATGGGAAAAGAGAAATAAGGGAACCAAAGTGGGTATAAGCTAAGGAACAGCAAGGAGGAAGAGCACCGATGGGAGATGGTGGCGGAACAATATGGAGATTAAAGATGGATTGCGTAAGGGATAAGGGATTCAGATACAGTGCAGGGAAAGCAGACTGAATCCCAGAATAAAGGCAAGAATCATAC